CATCCCCCATTCAGCATAAGTGTACCCCCACCCCCCCATTTGCCCGCTCCCTAATGCAATTATCAAAGCATCGATCAAACTTTCAAAAGATATTCTTTTGCTTATTACTACTTGCGGTTTGCTGAAGTTCATGAATATATATAAGCGCTCTGCAATGCAAATTTGCCGGCGGGAAAAATTATATTATGGGCGCTCGTATTGCGTGTTCCGAATTTAAGAGCCGGTGCTTGTGTCATCCGTTTTATTATATGATAATTTTCGTCCGGCGCTCCGGGAAATGCAACAGTGCAAGGTCCTTCCCGCCGCGTTCGTGTTTGTTGTTGGGGATTCACCTTACGCGCGTGTACATAGTGCTTGTTGTGGCGTGCGTGTAAAATAGTAAGTGTTGGTGTTTATATAATTGCTTTTGTGAGTGTCAGAATATAACTTGTTGCAGTCAGGCTTGTTGAGATCTTTATACGCATTACTGGTACCAATGCCTCTCTCTGCTCTATCTCTCTCTCTCTCTCTCTCTCTCTCTCTCTCTCTCTCTCTCTCTCATCTCTCTTCTCATCTCTCTCTCTCCTCTCTCTCTCTCTCTCTCTCTCTCACACACACACACACACACACACACACACACACACACACACACACACACACACACCACACACACACACACACACACCCACACACACACACACACCACACACGTCACACAACCCACGTGTGTGTATTGTATATATATATATATATATATAGATATATATATAATTATAATATAATATATACATATATATTTTTATAATATTATATTTATTTATTTTATATATATATATATATATATATATATATATATATATATATATATATATATATACATATATATATATATATATATCTGTAAAAACACCGTCTGCATCTGATATAGAGCGGGAGCGGGGCCAGGGCCGGAAGCCGCCGGACTGGTTCGATCAGTTTTATATGCCATTGCAGGCGACTTTTTCCTCCCGCGTCCAGAGGGTCCGGACTAAGGCAATTGGCGAAATTATATTTTTTTCAATTTTTTCAAATATTTGCGCTAAAGGAATCAAAAGACGAAAAAGAGCGCCAGACAAGTTTATTGGAGGAAGAAGACGCAAAGCCATTGGAAGGTATTAATTAAAACAGGATTAATTTTTTTTTTCTTGTTTCTTTTCTGTCATGTCGCATCACGTGTCTCCAAGCCCGCTCCCAGACCTTGACGGAGCCGCGAGGTGCAGAAAGACTGTTGTTTCTGCGGTTTCATGATTTACATAAGACCCCGGGGTGGAACATGTCGAAGTCCGACCTTTGGAACATTTTTTTCCATTTGCGAAAAGGGTGTAGTTGAGTGCACGCGTTTACACTCCCTGATCGAGACGAACACACACGCACGAGTATATACATGCACGAACGCGCACCCCCCCCCCCTCCTCTCCCCTTCCTTCTCCCCTCTCCTCCCCTCTTTCTTCCCCGCCTCTCCCCTCCCGTCCTCGCCCCTTCCTTCTCCCCTCCCCCTTCTCCCCCTCTCCTCTTCCTTCCTTCCCCCTCCCTCTTCCCCTTCCTTCCTCCTCTCCTCTTCCCCTTCCTCTCCCCCTCCCCTCTCCCCTCCCCTTCCTCCATCCTCAGACACACATTCAGACCCAGACACACAGACCGAGAACCGCATTCTGGAAACTGTTCCGCAAAAATGCACCGGCGTCGCTCTGTATTTTTCTTTTCATTTCTTCCTCCCTTGTTTTATGGCTGCGTATGTCCTTCAAGGGCATTGTTCGCTCCCTTTTCTCGGCCCACTCCTTTCGCGGCATTCACGCGCGCCGTCCTCGTGCGGTTGGGATGCCGCACATTCTCACTCCCGACGGCTGCTCCTCGCCCTCACTCCCCTTTCCTCCTCCCTCCCTCTCCTCGCCCTCACCCCCCGTCTCTTCCTCTTCCTTTTCCTCCCTCTCCTCTCGCCTCCCCCCGTCCTCCTCCTTCTCCCTCTCCTCTTCCTTTTCCTCCCGTTCCCTCTTCTCCTCTCCTCGCCTCACCCCTCGTCTCCTCCTTCTCCCATCTCCTCGCCCTCACCCCCCCTCTTTCCTCTCCTCTTCCTTCCTCCCCGGTAAGTCTCCTATTTTCTCGCTTCTCTTCTCCCTCACCCCCCCTCCTCTTAAACCCTCTTCCTAATACAATTTACTCTTCCTTTTCCGCCCGTATTCTCTACTTTCCTTCCCTCTCCTCTCCCCTCATCCCCCAGTCCTCCTCCGTAATCTCCCTGCCCATGTCTCGCCTCACCCCGTCCTCCTCCTTCTCCCTAGTGTCGCCCTCAGCCCCCCGTACTCTTCCTTCTTCCTTTTCCCCCGTATCTCCTATTTCTCCCTCTCTCTTCCTCAACCCCCCGTCCTCTCTCTTCCCTCCTCCTCTTCCTTTTCCTCCCGTATCTTCCTACTCTCCCTCTCCTCGCACCTCACCCCGTTCCTGCCTCCTTCTGCCCTCTCCTCCCCCTCACCCCCGTTGCCTCTTCCTCTTCCTTTTCCTCCCGTATTCTCCTATCTGCTCCCTCCTCTCTTCCTCAACCCCCCGTCCCTCTTCCTTCTTCGCGTTCTACCTTCTTCTCCCGATCCTCCCCTACTTCTCCTTCCTCTCCCCCTCAACCCCCCGTCCTCCTCTGTCTCCCCTCCTTTCCTCTTCCTCCCAGTCCTCCATCCTTTCTCCCCTCGTCCCTCGCCATTCACCCCTCCGTCCTCTTCTCTTTCTCCCTCTCCTCTCCAGTCAACCCCCTTCGACCTCCTCTCCTTCTTCTCTCCCCTTCCTCCCTGTCTCGTTTCTTCTGCCTCCCCCTTCCTCTCTTCTCCTCCTCTGCCGCCTCATCTTGCCTTCTTATTAATCCTGATCCCTCCTCCCCTCGATTCACTATTCACGTCCACGCTCTTGTGCTCTCTTCTCCGTCCTCCTACTCTCCTTCTCCTCCTGACTCTCTCAAAGAATCCTGTATAATTTCCTCCTTTTCTTCCGGTAATTCAGTCTTGTTTCCTTTCAAGTCTCTACTCAGAATAGCTGTTTTCCCTTAACCTTCTCTCTTCACGTCCAATTGGCCCATAGTGTTTATTCCTCTCTATAGCACGTATCCCACCCTCGCCCCGCTGCTCATCCCTCCGTCTCCTTATCCTCTCGTCACGTGAAGTCCGCTTCCATCGCCATGTCTATGAGACTATTTCCAAGTGCCCAATAGTGAGTTAGGCTACGGGTATCCAACATCGATGAACGATGGGTTCCTAAGAGAGGGGAAAGACGAGGAAAAGAGAAAGATAGGGAGAGAAGGGAGTAAAGAGGAGGAACACGCCTACGCGAGTCGCGCCCTAACACAAGGCAAAGGTTCAAAGCAAAAGGACAAGAGTGAGAGAGAGACAGATCATGAGAGGAGAGCGGCGAGAGGAGAGTGCTGTTCGGAATGGACCGCTGAGGCGAAGAGAGAGCAAGCTAGAGAAGAGAGAGAGAGGATGAGATGGGATGAGAGAGAGGAGAGGAAGAGAGAAGTACGGCGAGAAGAGACGAGAGAGATGAGAAGAGAGAAGAAAGACGGAGGGAGAGAGAGAGAGGGAGAGGAGAGAGAGGAGAGGAGAGAGAGAGAGAGAGAGAGAGAAAGAGACGAGAGAGAGAGAGAAAGAGAGAGAGAGAGAGAAAAGAGAAGAAGAGAGAGAGAGAGAAAGAGAGGAGAGAGAGAGAGAGAGAGAGAGAGAGAGAGAGAGAGAGAGAAGAGAGAGAGAGAGACGAAGAGAAGACGACGAGAGAGAGAGAGAGAAAGAGGGGAGAAGAGAAAGAGAGCAGACGGATCGAGAGAATGCGAGAGGGAGAGAGGAGAGACCGTGAGAGAGGAGGAGAGGGAAAAGGAGGTGGGAGTGAGAGAGAGAGCAGGAAAGGAGACGCAGGACAGGCGAGGAGAGAGGAGAAGGAAGTAGAGATGGAGATGGAAGAGAGAAGGTTGAGTTGGATCTATAGGAAGGAGAAGAGAGATACTAAGGCCCGGGATGAGTTGCCGGAGAGAGAAGGAGAGACGAGAGAGAGAGAGAGAGAGAGAGAGAGAGAGAGAGAGAGAGGAGAGAGAGAGAGAGAGAGAAGAGAGAGAGGAAGGAGAAAGAAAGAAGAAGAGAAGGAGAAAGAGAAAAGAGAAGGGAGAAATAAAGAGAGAGAAAGAGAGGGGATTTTATTTTAAAAGGAAACTAAAACATAGAGTGTAACACGCGTTGGACCTAGGCCCTTCTTCCCCGGATCTGTTGACGGGAAGGGAGGAGGGGACAGGGGGGGGTCTAGCTCAGGGGAATTAGAGTGATATTTTATCACTTAATGACCCTAATAATATTATATTTATTCTGTTTATGTTACGTAATTACCGCCCCATCCCCATTCCTCCCTCCCTCCCTCCACCCGCTACCTCCCGTCTCCTCACCCTCCTACCCCCTACCCCCTGCCCCCACCACCCCACCCTTCGCCCGGGAATATATTTCACCCATAACGATATGTTATTTGACTTAAATGCGCGTCTAATTGGTTTTTTTTCGCGTGTTATCAGCTCTTTTTTCGCGCCCGGGTCATGGGTGCTTTTTTTTGGGTGTTTGTGTGTGTGTGTGTGTGTGTGTGTGGTGTTGTGTGTGTGTGTGTGTTGTGTGTGTGCGTGTGTGTGTGTGTGTGTGTGGTGTGTGTGTGTGTGTGTGTGTGTGTGTGTGTGTGTGTGTGTGTGTGTTTGCATGGCGGCTTGGCTACGTGGTTGTTTGTCTGTTTATTTGTTTTTTGTTTTTGTTGTCTGTCTGTTTAACTATTGTTGTTGTCTATTTATCGTTTGTTGCTGTCTGTTTATTTGTCTATTTATGTAGTTATTACTTATTTCCGTTACTTTTTTCCTTTTTTTTATCCTTCTTTATTTCCGTTCTTTCCCTTTCCTTTTTTGTTTAATTTCCTTTTATCCCCCTTTCTTTCCCTTTCCTTTCTTTATTCCTTTTCTTCACCCTGTTTAGACCTCGATCCCGTTAGTCGCCTCGGCACCCCGGCGTCGCGAGGGCCACATCCTGGAGCGGCACTGGATGGCACTCTGTTCTCGGGCGCTTGTCGATACACCTGTCAATAGGGCCACAGCGAATTAATAAGTGGCGCTGTGGATTGATAAGTGGCATTGCAGTTTAATAAGTGGTACTGCGAATTCATAAGTGGCACTTTGGGCTGATAAGTGGCATTGCAAATCGATAAATGGCATTGATAAGTGGCAATGCGCATTGATATGTGGCATTGTGAATCAATAAATGGCACTGCGCATTTATAAGTGGCACAGCGCACTGATATGTGGCATTGCGAATCAATAAGTGGCACTGCGCATTAATAAGTGGCACTGCGCATTGGTAAGTGGTACCGCGAATTAATAGATGACACTATGCATTAATAAGTGGCACTGCAAATTAAAAAGTGGCTCTTCACATTGATAAGTGGCACTGCGAATTAATAAGTGGCCCTCTTGACTGATTGCGAGTTTTGGGGGATTTGTTTTTTATTCATTTTATTCTTTTTAAAGGTTCATTTGTCAGTTACTTTGTTCTTGTTGTTTGTTGTTGGTGTTTTTGTTATTGTTATTGCTGTTAAATTTTATTTTATTGTTGCTTGATCATAGATATTATGATTGTTGTTGTTAATGTTATTATTGTTCTTACTTATATTTTGAAGAATATGCATTTAATCTTTTTCACAGCCTTTTGAATATTTTAGAATAATTTGAATTTGTACATTTATTTCTCAAACTTTTCCCCCTCTGCACACTTTTCGAAACAATAGATTTATTTGTGTTTTAGGAGGTCTCTTGAACTTTTGCAATGCGGCCAATAAAGTTTTTAGGA